ACTGAGCTAGACTGGCTAGGGCATTATAACCTTTTTTAAAATTCAGATACAGGGAAAGCACATAGCACTTACTTTGCAAAAGCTACGCTCTCTCATACAGGCCTTCAATTGAATAGTCTGGGGAGGTGAGGCATGGATTTTCTGCTGGCAGCTCCGTAGAATTTTAGTAGTTGGTGATAAAACTTAGCTAAGTTTTCACCAAATATACATAGGTGTATAAAAATGGAGCATGTGGCCAAAACCGGTTTGGCTCAGTGGATAGAGCGTCAGCCTGCGGACTGAAAGGTCCGAGGTTCGATTCCGGTCAAGGGCATGTACCTGGGTTGCGGGCACATCCCCAGTGGGGAGTGTGCAGGAGGCAGCTGATCGATGTTTCTCTCTCATCGATGTTTCTAGCTTTCTATCTCTCTCCCTTCCTCTCTGTGAAAAATCAATAAAATATATTTTAAAAAAAAAATGGAGCATGTGAAAGAAAACATTGACAATAGTCTGAGCATTGCTTTCTTGTCTTTCAATTCCTTTTTACTTAGAGTGGTGGGTGCCCTCACTGTAAGAAAGTTCTCTGTGGGATCCAGAGGCGTATGGAAGCACTGTGTGAGGAAGGGCTGCTGCGTGGACTTAATGCTACCATGAGGCCCCTTTCAGTGACATTCAACTTAATGGAATCCTCCTTTATTCCTGAACTAACTGCAAATTCTTGAAAGCTTTGGGTGTATGGTGTGACTAGTCTAGTAATTGCTACTCAGAACAGAAAATCTTAGTTTAAACCTTTAGGAAGGAGAATGCCCTATTTATTAACCATGTTTCTTTTGGTAGGAGGGTGTCCGCATGGAAGAAATAGTTGAAGGTTGTACCGGAGCCCTTCACATCCTAGCTCGGGATGTTCACAACCGAATCGTAATCAGAGGACTGAATACCATTCCACTGTTTGTGCAGGTATGTTGGTTTTAAGTGAAGTGTTCTAGATTTTGTTCGTCATAATATTTCAGGATTTTAACAATAAGCAAATTTTCAGGAAATTAGAGACGAAAATAAGAGTACAGACATTTCATTTTTGTCTATCACCATTTATAAAACGACAATACTCTGCCCATGTCCCCCTGCCAAAGCATGAAAAGTAGAACCTCAATGTGTGAGGTCCTTTATGTGGAATACATTTAATTTTATGAAATTAAAATTAAACACTTTGGAAAATAATTTAGAGAATACCGTCAAGTGCTACATAATGATATTTCTGTCATCAGTGGTGGTACCATAAGATTATAATGAACTGAAAAATTCCTGTCACCCCATGATATCATACTGTTACAGCACATGTTACGTGTTTGTGGTGATGCTGGTGTAAGCAAATCTATAGATACCATTGTGTCACAAGTCCTCATGGTATTCAGTAGAGGAACGTGCTGTATAGGCATGTGGCCTAGGGGTGCAGTGGGCTGACCATCCAGGTTAGGGATGTGCTCTGATGTTCACATGCACTGCTCAGACTTACCCCTTCGCCAAGCAGGGCATGATTATGCTTTAATACAACTAGTGCAAACGCCATTTATATTCAGTTCGGAACGTTTGTACCACAATGGGGTGCTTGCTGTGCTTTAATTTAATTAGGCTTTCCTGTGTGTTTCTCCTTAGCTGCTCTATTCTCCCATTGAAAACATCCAGAGAGTAGCAGCGGGGGTGCTCTGTGAACTCGCTCAGGACAAGGAGGCAGCAGAAGCTATTGAAGCCGAGGGAGCCACGGCCCCCCTGACAGAACTGCTGCACTCGAGGAACGAGGGTGTGGGTAAGTAGAAGAGGAACCAGGACCTCCAGCTGGTGCACACAGCGATGCCTCCATTTTTCCTAAGAGCCTTTGTTTCTGTCCTCTCCTAGCAACGTATGCAGCTGCTGTTCTGTTCCGAATGTCTGAGGACAAGCCACAGGACTATAAGAAGCGGCTTTCAGTGGAGCTGACCAGTTCTCTCTTCAGAACAGAGCCAATGACTTGGAATGAGGTAGGCAGTGTGAGGGCGTGTATGTGGTAGTTGGCCAGAGCAGTTCATGTTTCCCCTCAGAACACTAGGTATATGTGCGTTGTTGCCGACTGTCCTTAGCTTGAATAGTTGTTCCTCATGCTATGTGGGCAACGACTGAAGGAGAACTACAGCTTTCAAAAGCCTGCTCAGAACGAACTAACTGCTTAACCTTAGAATTCACAGGGAGGGAGATGAAAATTATCAGAGTAAAGAGGCAATCATTAAACACAGTAGGTTGGGGGTCATTTTGTCACTACATTTCTGGCTGAATTTCTATGAATTTTAGTGTATGTCCTCAGTTACTCATTGAAAATTAGGACTGTCAATTATGGTACATAGTAATATACAGTTGAAGGGGAAAAGAGCCTACATATTATTCGTTAAAAAGAAATGCCAAACAGTGAGTGATGTGTTATTAGGTTTTTAACAGGCAGCCTTGACATGTTCCAACTTGAGCTCTGAACTTCTCCACCCACCGCCTCCCCAAACCTGTTCTGTCCTCATTTTCTCCGTCTCAGTTCATTGCAGCTTCCGCACAGGCTCAAGTCCTCTCTCATGTCACATGTCCTGTTGGGGGGAGACACTTTGCCTGTTTTGTTTTCTGTTGTATCTCTAGCACCTAGAACAGTGCCTGGCACATAGTAAGCACTTAATGTATATTTGCTGAAAGGGTAACTTCGTGAATTTTTAAAATACTGTCTGCAATGGGAAAGCATGTTTCTCTTGAGTATCAGTGGTTGATCTTTGTGGAGTAGAGTTTGACGTATCTATTATATACTTGTATATTTTGAAGTAATTCTGTATTTTCTAAGTATTTCTGTAATGTTTAAGAGCGTACTTTAAGTTGAGGATCTTCATTTTGCTTCCTTGTTTTGTACCTACTTATCTAGACGGCCGATCTTGGACTTGACATTGGTGCCCAGGGAGAGCCCCTTGGATATCGCCAGGATGGTATGTGTCTCGTGTTTCTCAATTAACTCTAGATCAGACTTTATCAAAAGAGCTAGTTTGCTTACCTGGGAAGCCAGTGTTGGTAGGAAAGCAAGCAGTGGCAGCAATTAAAGTCAGTTCTTCAGCAGTATCACGCCACCAACACTTGTCCCTCCTGCCGGGTTTCTGCTTATTCTTTTGTGTGTGTGTCGTCAGAGAAGCTCTGTTACTGGGGTCTACAACCCACCCAGGAAATGAGAGCATGGGAAACTTGTGTCCCCAAGCTCAGGCCTGGGTGGGTATTTACCTAGTTGTATGATCGAGTTTTTCTGAAAAGCTAATTCAACTCTTGGTAATGGAGATGGAGCATGGGGTAGACTACCAACAGCTAGAACTGTTCATCTTAAATTTGTTTCTCATAAACAACTCAAGCCCATAGCTTCTTGCCTTGACAGCCATAGGAGCTTTAAGATAACACGTAGAAGTTCCGTTGGAAACGATGCCTTGCATTTTGTCAGTACCTTTGTGGGCATCCCCTGGGCCTCTCAGCAGCTAGCTCTGCCAGGCTTCTTTATTGCCTCCCCCTGCCCATGGCTTCTTGGTGCCTGGGTGGTCGTGTGCAGTGGGAGCTGCTCTTCCTCCCGAGGAACTTGTCTCTGGCTGGGGAAATGCAAAACGTTGAGGGTGAACTGAAGGCGGGACTAGCTCTGCGTGGGTGGCCTGGCCTTGGGTGGTTACTGGCTGAAGAAAGCTAGAAGGTGAAGAGGTTCGAGGAGTGCTTTCCAACAAGGACGTAGTCCTCCGACGTCCCTAACCTCAGTGGTAACCTCTTTCTCCTCTCACTCCCTTGCCCATTTTGTTGCCACCCCGACTCCTGTAGATCCCAGCTATCGTTCTTTTCACTCTGGTGGATACGGCCAGGATGCCTTGGGAATGGACCCAATGATGGAGCATGAGATGGGTGGCCACCACCCTGGTGCTGACTATCCAGTTGATGGGCTGCCAGATCTGGGGCACGCCCAGGACCTCATGGATGGGCTGCCTCCAGGTGACAGCAATCAGCTGGCCTGGTTTGATACTGACCTGTAAATCATCCTTTAGGTAAGAAGTTAAAAAAGCCAGTTTGGGTAAAATACTTTTACTCTGCCTACAGAACTTCAGAAAGACTTGGTTGGTAGGGTGGGAGTGGTCTAGACCGATTTGTAAATCTGCCACAAAAAAAAAACACACAAAACAGCTACATACATACTTTGAAAGGAGATGTCTTAGAGCATTTGAATGTTCTCAGATTTCTGGTTATTACGTGGTCATGTGTGGAAGTCATTAACTTTAATGTTTTTTGCCACAGCTTTTGCAACTTAATACTCAAACGAGTAACATTTGCTGTTTTAAACATTAATAGCAGCCTTTCTCTCTTTATACAGCGGTATTGTCTGAACTTGCATTGTGATTGGCCTGTAGAGTTGCTGAGAGGGCTCGAGGGGTGGGCTGGTATCTCAGAAAGTGCCTGACACACTAACCAAGCTGAGTTTCCTATGGGAACAATTGAAGTAAACTTTTTGTTCTGGTCCTTTTTGGTCGAGGAGTAACAATACAAATGGATTTTGGGAGTGACTCAAGAAGTGAAGAATGCACAAGAATGGATCACAGGATGGAATTTATCAAACTCTAGCCTTGCTTGTTAAAATTTTTTTTAATATCTGTAATGGTACTGACTTTGCTTGCTTTGAAGTAGCTCTTTAATTTTTTTTGCAGTAACTGTTAGTTTTTTAAGTCTTGTAGTCTTAAGTTATAGTGAATACTGCTACAGCAATTTCTAATTTTTAAGAATTGAGTAATGGTGTAGAACACTAATTCATAATCACTCTAATTGTAATCTGAATAAAGTGTAACATTGTGTAGCTTTTTTGTATAAAATAGACAAATAGAAATGGTCCAATTAGTTTCCTTTTTAATATGCTTAAAATAAGCAGGTGGATCTATTTCATGTTTTTGATCGAAAACTTTATTTGGGATATGTATGGGTAGGGTAAATCAGTAAGAGGTGTTATTTGAAACCTTGTTTTGGACAGTTTACCAGTTGCCTTTTATCCCAAAGTTGTTGTAACCTGCTGTGACTCAATGCTTCAAGAGAAAATGCAGTTATAAAAATGGTTCAGAATTAAACTTTTAATTCATTCGATCGTGTCACCTTTTTTTCCTTGTTAGCAAGTGGTGTTGTGAGGGTAACAAGTATATTCGCGTACGTAGTGAACGCAGTGGTCAAAGGTAGAGCCTTTACCTTAGATGGGCAGGTTGGCCAAGTTTCTCCAGCAGTGGCACCAACAGTGGTTTCAGCCGTGAACACGGATTCTGACCTTGTGTGAGAGGCGAGATTCCACTTTCTCCAACTGAAGGACTCTGGGCTTAGACCCTGTGGCCAAGACTTCACCTGGCGGCTTTGTGATCTTGCCCAAGTGACCAAAAGGCATCTATCTAGTCTTTGGGCTACACAGAGCACAACTGAACCACTTTCTCCAACTGAAGGACTCTGGGCTTAGTAGACCCTGTGGCCAAGACTTCACCTGGCTTCTTTGTGATCTTGCCCAAGTGACCAAAGGGCATCTATCTAGTCTTTGGGCTACACAGAGCACAACTGAAGCCAGTAGGAATGCCCCACCCCACACTTAACTGCCTGGGCTTTAGCCCCCAAGCACCTCCACATAAGCCTGACTCATTTGGAGGGGGGAATTCCTTCAACTCCACTTTGAACTGATAATTAAGTTGGTTTAAGTGTAGATGTTTATCTGAACATAGACCCAGAATGGGCCTTTCCAGCTACCTGCCAGGTGAGCCCGTCATCCTGGCGGTAGGTCTCCCAGCTTTCCTCCCGCAGGGCAGAGTCAGTAGACCTGTTAAGACTTGTGATTTGGTCTTTTAAATGAGTGGTTTGTGCTTAGGGAGGGCTGTTTCTGATTTTCTGTGGGTGGCCGTTTGGATAAAATTGAAGTTAATGCAGAAAAACCACGACCAACAAACTATCAATTTTAAATAAAAACAATATCGGTATTTTTCTTTTGCCTCACGGTCCAATATGACTGGTAGGGCACTGTGATGACGTGCCCAATAATCGCTTCCTTCATACGTGAGAGTGGCCATCCTGCAGTTAATAAAAACGATACCTTTACACAATAGTTTGACTATAT